AGCTGCCCCCTATACCTCCACTTCTTACTCCACAGTGCTATTGTTAAGAAAATCAATCTGTGAATTTGAAAATGCAGCATTAAAACCAATCTACTTGAGGTAAATGTCACCTTCAAGCATACTTGGCTGGTGCATCTTCCTTGAAATCTCCTGCTTTGGGTTTTGAGATGTTTCTAGGTTCTCCTTTTATATCTTTAAACTCCTTCTTCTCTACTTTCTCCTAGAAGACTCTTTTTCCCACTCCATAAACATGGATGCCCACTAATATTTTGTCATTGGCTCTTTGCTCTTCATTATCCTCTCTTCCTGTAGGTAAACTAACTGTTTCAGTTATTATGAAAAGACTGATGACTCCGAGATCCTATAACTTTCAAACCCATTAAGGACAATTTCTAACTTCATTAAGGAAATTTCCATTTGGATTTTCCATTGTCATCTCAATCTCAATATGCCCCAAACTCAAGCTTTCTTACCTAATCAAACCAACCCATTGCTGCTGTCAAATTCTCCACTCATGTCAATGGGAACAACATTGTTGAACTAGAGCAGAAACTTGCATTCATTTTTGACTCTCACTTTCATTTCTTCTGTTTATCATGTGGGATGTGAGGGCTTGCCAAGCCCTTTTCAAGGTTGCTCATCCACCTTTGGTGCCCACCAGTCACTCAGTTATTACCTGTGGCTCCAAAAAGCTGCAGCATGTGCAGTGGCCACACCCTGGTAAACTGTCTCGGCAGACAGGTTAAACCAGGTTAAGGGTAACCAACAGGCCATAAACCTGTCGGTGAACTAGGGATTGTCTGTTCCAAGCAGATGAGACTTCCCTGGTGGAATGAGGAGATGAGAACAATTTGATTCAACAACCACGAAGGCAACTGAAGCTGGTGCTTCGGAGCACTTAGAGCTCGGTCAGAAATTTGAGATGGCAAGGTAATCCACCATATCCTGGGCCATCACCAGTTGTCCTAACTTTTGTCTTGCCACTCGACTTTAATGACTCTGGAACAGAGAGTGAGGCTGATGACTTTGTGCAATTCTGCCTCACTTAAATCCAATTCATGAACAAGACAAAACATTACCCTATGATGACATTGGCCCTCTTTGAAAATGAAGGACAGGAAAAAAAAAGTTAAAAAAAAAAGAAAGAAAAAGAAAATGAAGGACGGGGGGTAGCTAGGTGGCGCAACGGATAGAGCACCGGCCCTGGATTCAGGAGGATGTGAGTTCAAATCCGGCCTCAGACACATAACACTTACTAGCTGTGTGACCCTGGGCAAGTCACTTAACCCCATTGCCTAGCTAAAAAACAAAACAAAACAAAAAAAAACAAGAAGAAAATGAAGGACAAACAACATGTTCATCATGTAATCAAGTCTAGTTAATCAGTCCCATTCTTGTACAACTATCTCCTGGATTAAATTCAATCCAAAAACATTTATTAAGGGCTTATTATATGTGAAGAGGTGAGAGGCAATGTGGTAAAGTGGTACAGACTGGCCTTGGAGTCCTGAGGACATGGGTTTAAAAGTGTTCTTTCTAATACTCAAGATAACTGAACTTAATTTATCACTTAACTTCTCAATAAAGCCAGGATTTCTTTTAGACAATTACACCCCTACTCTTCCCAACATACTGATGCAATCACAGATCTTAAAGACAGAAACAGACACAGGCACAGACAAACACACACACCCACCCACGCACACATACACATACACACACAGAGCAGAAATTGCAAATAGGCATATTTAGCTTGATGTAAAAAAAAAAAAATCTCTAAATAGTTAAGAGTGGTCCAAAAATTCACTTGACAGGAATATTATAGAAGAGATTCCTCTTCTGGTACAAATTAGGCTAAATGTTGTCTGATGTACCTTGCAGAACTAATATTCTATTATTCTGTGAAATATTGTCCATTTAGCAAAGTCCATTTCAAATACAATCTCTTGTAGGAATCCTTTTCAAACCACAATGATACTTTCTTGCTCGTCTCACAATTTTTTAAAAGTTATCTTATATTGTTCCTGAATAATTTTACAAGTCTTAGTCTCATCTCCTTTGACAGACTGTAAGCTCCTTGAGGGTAAAAATAATGTCATGGCCTTTTTTTTGCATATCCGTAGTGCTGGAAAAATAATGGGTGGTTAAGCAATAATTTTAATTGAGATCAACTGAAAGCCAAAGGCAGGTCTCAGAAGATTCAAATGACAAAAACTAGAGGGTTATTTCCTTAGCTATACTGAGAGTAGCAAGGAAGGCATCATTTCTCTTGGTTATATTTCTTTTATTTTAAGGATTAATTTGTGAACTGGACAAGAGATGTATTATTAATACCTTGGATTTGATGCATGAAATATATAGATCAAGAGGCCAGCATGTTCCAAAGGAACACACAGTGTAAGGTCTTTCAATGTGAAAACTTCCTGGGATAGTAGAGAAACCACTAAAAAGTTATCTCAGAATCAATTTCCCCACTGGCTTGTTTTATACGACGTGAGTCAGAGAGGAAATTGAGGGTACTTTCACTCCTAGGATGAGAGCAAAGCTGGGATATTCTATACAAAAGAATAAGGCTAATCAAATTCCACTTGGATTTTGAGTAGCAGGGGTCATTTATTTAAATGTACTGGGGAACAGATGAAAATGGACTTTTTTTCTGAGTGCAAATAATTCTGTATGTCCCTTACAAAAATGCTTTTCTTGGTACCCAATGTCATCTCCAAATGATTCACACAAATCTACCCGCAGAGGAAAAGAGCAAATGCAAATCCTAATCTTGAATTTGCTACACAATCTTTAGTTTATGAAATATTTAATAGCCAAAATGGTCTAACATTTTATTTTTGTCTTATTGGCTAAAAGCAATCTTGCAATTTAGGAGTCCTTTTACCCCTAAGAAGGATGAATGGAATAAAGATAAGTATCATAAATTCCTAGTTGAATATAACATGAATGCCATGATAAGATTGATTAAACGCTATAATCCTCTGGCAATGCATAGACGTCATCAATAAAAATGGAGTTATTCACTTCATATTTGCAAAGAACAGAAGTACAGTTAAAGCCAAACAATGCCAAAATATTTAAATGAGAAATGAAAAAAAAATCGTTCTGTCTTCCACATGGTTGGTCTACCCTCTGTCATTTCCTACAGAAAGCCTTTCATAATGATTCTCTTAGTTATTAATGTTTTGCCCCTAATCCTTAAATGTATAAACATATTTGTTTCCATGTTATATTTCCCCAGCAGAATGTATTCCTCCTGAGGGCAGGGACTATTTTGAGAGAGACTATTTTGGGAGGGTGTTGTTTTTTCTCTATTGCCAGTGTACTGTGTGGTATCCATAATGTAGTAAGGACTTAATTTTTTTTTAAATTGGATTGGATTGGATATTGCCAAACACCTTCATAACCAAACCCAAATGACTGACCAAAGGATTTTATTTTTCATTTGTATTATTTAGTGTTATGTAGACGCAGTCTTGGGCTCAATTCACTTTTTGACCTAAGAGGCAAGAGTAGGTAGATGGATAAATATCAAATTTCTCCATACTTCCTGGTTATCTTATGTTTTTCCCCTCTGAATAGCAGTTTTCTAAAGAAAAAATTACAATAGTTGTCAAATCTTGTCTTCCTTATCTTATTCCTTCTCAAAAGAATAACTTTTTCAAAACCCATCACTCGGCAGAGGGAAAAAAAAAAGAAAGAGGGGTTTGCAAAGTGACCTCACGTCTTTTCCCACATTGCTGAGGTGTGTTTTCTTTCTGATTCAGATGAATGCGTGGCACTGAATTCAATGGAAAATAAAATTAATCCTACTTATATACTATAAAAATCCAAAACACTATTTCCATTGGGAAATAGAGGGAACATATAGTCTGAAAAGACGGGTTTGAGAAGCAGAAAACACTTTGGTACCGATTTGTCATCTAGTTGTGAGTACTGAAAAGAGAAGGTGAAGCCATATTCAGGAAAAAACCTGCAAACCCACGTGTTTCCCCATAATTTGACAATTATTAATAATGACTGAAAACTACTGACAAAAAAAGAAACCCTGAAAATGAAAAAAACAAATCGGAATAACAAATTTAAAGTCACAAGTACCTAAATTTATTAGTGACTCATTCCCATGGAACAAAAGGCTGAGGAAGTATTAGAATGAGCTAAGACAAAAACTTCTCTTCCTCCTAATTCTTCCTTCAAAAGCTCAAGAACCAGACATGGATTTAATATTAAGAATTGCTTTGTTATAAGATGGAGAAATGTTTCTCTTTCTCATCCCCTCCATTATCAGATTTGGTTGCTAGCATTGATTAATGATAAAAGTGCCAAACCTCAATTAAACTTTGTACTGTATATTGCATAGAGATATAGCCTTAAAGTTTTATTTTTCATCAGCATCTTTAAACATCAATATATTTTCTGGCTAGTGTACATATTATTCTCACTTCCTTGTAATAACCATATATACTGATGGTCCTTGTACTGTATACATAATTCAGAATAAGACTCATCTATAGAAACCCAGACTTCCAATGGTTCTTTATTATTATTCTCCATCATATTTCACATACACCTTTCCTTTGCCACTTGTAGAAGATCTGTTTGAGGTGACTTGTCATAATTTCCTCCTAAGACGCTACGGTTTCATGCAAACTCTTGTTCTTCTTTCCAATACTTTTTAGAAACTGTTTAAAGTCGATTAAACAATGTCAGATCTTTAAAAAAAATAAGCGAAACCATTTTTAGTCTTTCAAGAAGATTTCTATGTACCACAGGGGGAAAAAAATGAGCATTGCCAGCAGTTCTGAGAACATAAGCAAGATGCAATTTGATAAATAGCCTTCCGTAATCTAAAGCCAGGACTGTGCAAAAGCATGCTATCAGCACTTTCATCAAAGACACTATTGACTTGTTTTCTATCTGATTTTATCATGCCCTTTTCATTTTATTTACTCAGTCAACGAAGCGCAGGTGTGGGGAGAGGCAAGGTTTCTTACCACTTTGGTGAGCTGTGACGTCATCTGCCAGTGAAGGATCCTGTTCGCCTTCTTTGGTGCTGCTGCTGCCGCCACCATTGGTAACACTGTCGCTGCTGCCACCGCCACCGCTGCCGCTGCCATCGATACCACCATCTTTTTCAAGTAATTGATCCACCATGGCAATGATGCAGTTGAGGCTCTTTCCCACATTGGCCCACACCCTATCCTGAAAAGAACATCAGCATCACTACACATTATCTTTGTAATAATAGGAGAAGAAAAACTTGATGAATCCATTCTAAGTAAATGTGTTAGTGAAGGGTTGTAGAGATACAAAGACTGGAGAAGGGCGAACAATGGCTTATTTAAAGAGCCTCCACCTATAGGAAGCTGGATGCTACAATAATTAGAGCCATGGGCCTGGAGTCAGGAAGACCTAAGTTCCAATCTGGCTTCAGACACTTAATAATATCTGGGTGACCCTGGGCGTTGCTGGGCATTGTCTTGACTTTTCTCATGTGTGAAATGGAAATGATAACAGTAGCTACCTTCCAGGGTTGTTATGAGGGTCAAATAAAATAATATTTGTGAAGTGCTTTGTAAACCTTAAGGTACTATATAAATATTAGTTATTAGTAGCTATTACTATTATTACTCTTAGATTTCAAAGAAAAACAAAAATACTTTTATTTTAAATTTATTATCTCTCAATGTGCAGTTCTGTCAATAATCTCAAGATGCTACTGGCTCATATTATTATCACTCTTCTCTTAGCAATATAGTATGGCTGCATATCATAGGACACCATCATTTCAGAAGAACAGAAATAGGAGACGTCCTAAAGACCAGTGAAGATTAATGGTAGGTAGGCTGCAGCATATTGCCAAGGGTGACTTGTGTGAGAGTAATGGCGCAAAGTTATCATCAGGGATGATTAGAAAAGGAAGTGGGCTGCACAGATATAAAAAGTGAGGAATAACGGACAGCCTGGGGGCCACACTGGTGGCGATGAACTATCAAAAACAAAAACAAAACAAGCAAACAAAAACAACAGAGGAAGTCCTCCAGCTTGTTGGGGAGATTTCTTCCTTTACAGAAGGACAAGGAGAACTGTGCAGGATGAGAAGGAGTGGGTAAATTACAATTAGCACGGGTGGACAGAGTGATTGATGGATGTATCAAAGTATGGCTCAATCATGTGATGCATCACTTTTTCCTCTGGAATAAAAAAGTGATGAGATACTGGAGATTTTTCATCTTTTTAATACATTAAAGATTGTATAGAATTATAGCCCTACAGCACTGACAAATTTCACTCTTTTCTTCAGCCAGAAATCTCTCGCTAGGACTGAGCTCTACGGTGCACCTGGTTAAACCAGGTAAAAATCACTTGGTTTTTCGCCACTATCAACCCTCCTCTCTGAACTAGGTTTCACCCCGATAACAACATAAAGGTTTAGGATTTGAAGAATATTTGCCTCACAATGATGCTGTGAGGTAGGAAGTTCAAGAATGATTCCCATTTTACAGATGAGGAAAGTGAAGTTGAGCAAGGTTGAGTGCCTCACCCAATTGTTTAGTTGCAGAGCTCGGATTTGAACTCTGGATTTGAACTGCAGATCCAGTACTTTTTCCACTAGACACTGCCTTATTCCAATTTTCCCTGTAGAGCAGTGCCTATAGGCACTTCCTTTCTCCCTTATCCCACTCCTAGAAAATAGTACAACTACACCTTCTTCTAGGTGTCCTGGAGGGTCTTAATGCTAAGCATTACAGAGACCTATACATCTGGGGAAGGAGGTATGTCATCAATCAAAGGAAAAAATAGTAAGTTGTAGAATTTTAGTAGTTGAAACTGATCCCATAGGGAAATGCAGGACTTCTTTAGTTTTCTTGGATTCTCCTTTTTCCTGTTTGGAAAAAAAAAATCAGTCTTCCCCTACTTTAAATCCTTGGAGGCATTGGGCCCAATCCTTTGATCTAGAGAGACTGTTAGGCCTTTTTATAGCTCTTTAGCTCTCCTAAGATCGAATCCCCTAAATGTTAGCACCATTCTCTGTTCTCCCTTCTCACCCTGATCCCTGGCCCTAGATGCTCTAAACTGACTTTCAACATTTGAGGAAATTACAGTCACCTTCCTCTCTCTTTATTCTCTGGTTGATTTTAGAGAGAAACCTTGCTCCTTGGGCAATATATTGCTTTCCTTGTCTGGTCTCTAAGGCCTTTCCCCCTTAAATTCTTCAAAATTTTGACGGTCCATTCTCAGAATCTCTTTCTCTTTGACCCATCCACTTGGTCCTTATCAGTTTGCCTATGGCAAGTTTCCTATCTCCACTTTAACAGTTGTCTCTGACTTGAGTGGTAAAGTTATATCCTATATTTATTGCCCTTGGCTGGCATGAGGGGGTTCCCTTTTTTCTAAATGCCATGTGCCATGGCACTCTGAGCTTAGAAGGCCCACGCTCTCCTACTCTTGCGCCTTGAAAGTCTCCTATCAGGATGATTTCTCCCTCTCATTCTGAGCCTGTGATTCTTCTTCAGCAGAAATGATGAACAATGGAAATTTATTCTTGATGTACATTTGTTCTCACTACCTCACTGCCCTCAGATTGCTGAGTAATAGCTCTGTCCCCCTCCCCTGGGTATCAGGTTTCACAAAAAGACAATTATTTAAACATATAGCAAAAACAAAACAAAAAAACAGAATATTCTCTTGGCACCAGTTCAAATAAGACCTAGGCCGAAACAGTCTGATATTGTGGAAGGAATATTAGATTTGCAGTTAAAGATGTAGGTTAGAATTCTGGCTTTTACTTTAATACATATGTATACTGGAACAATTCACTGAACACATCTGAGCCTTAGTATCCTCATCTGTAAAATGACGGGGGCTGGATCATTTAAGTCTCTCATCTCAGATCTCCTCCATCTTGAAAATGTTACATACAAAAACTATTATATTCAACATAGTCTAGTCATTCTAAGATGATTTATCTGTTAATTAGGAAGACCACAAAAAAATGAGTTATCTCAGACACTAGTAACCTCAACATGTGTGGAAGATGGTGGCCATCTGGTTTCTGTCACCAATCCAGCTGTTGGTTATTGGAGAAAAGACTCCAGTATTTGTAGTCAGAGACCTTGAGCAGCACGGTATAGTAGGAAGAATGTTGGGTTTGAATATTGGCTCTGCCACTTATGATCCATATGACCTTATAAATCACTTAAACAAGCTGTGCCTCAGTTTCATTATATGTAAAATGAAGCATTTAGATTCAATGGCCTCTAAGGTTGCTTCCAGTTGTATAACTATGATCCCATCATAACTAATTTTAGGCAAGTCATTAAACATGCCTGGGTCTTGGTTTCTTCACCTCTAAAATAAGGGGGTTGAGTTAGGTAATTTTAAGTTCCCTTCTAGGTGAATATTCAGTGAGCCATACCAAAAATGAATCTTCACCTTCTCATACTTCTAGTTTAATATTAATATTTTATAATATCCCATAAATGGACCCTCTCTTATCCTATACTTAGGTCTTGGTAGTGTTTAATTGGTTCCTGATGCTCTTCCTCCAACTTGAGGGGTATAGCAGGATTTGGGGAGAAAAAAAAAGCCCAGGTACAGGAATGAAGGTACTGAACTGTATCCCGCATTTATGCTATACTTTGCCTGGTGCAAGAACCAAAGATAATCAAAGTTGCCACCATCTCCATGAAACGGGGAGAGCAATAATTGTACAGCTTACCCCACAGAGTTGTCTTCAAAAAAGCACACATTGAAGCTTAATTTGCTACAATACCAGTGAGCTATCATTCTTATTATTTTTATATGATACCCCGTCAGCTCATAAATTAGGCTCTTGGAATTAGGTACTTTTGGAGATAATTATTTCAAGCATCGAGAAAATTTGATGTGATAAAGTCCTCCATTCAAAAGCAACTGAGTTTGACATGCCTGAAAGTAATGCACCACCTCAACCACCTAATTGATATGCAGATTAACTCTGGTTGCTTCTGTATACTTTTCAGGGGTGGGAGGGTGATTTTATCTGTATGGGGAACTTCTAAGATCTAAAGACCCTCCACTGTTACATGACTTCTCATCTGTAACTTATAAAGAGTTGCCCGGATAAGGAACTTGACCATGGAGACACTATCATTGTCTATCTGAAGAAGGACCCGGACCCATGTCTTCTTGACCCCAAGATCAACGCTCTATCTCCTTTACCACTGTACTCCTCATTTCTGCACAGTCTAATTTCCGAACATCAGAGCTTATCTGATTCAACCCCTTCTTTTAAAAATGAAATTAAGACCTAGTGACTTGCCTAGGTTACCACCCAGCTAGCAGAACTGGAATTTGAAACCAAATCCTCTGAATTCCAAATCTAGAATCTTATTTTCCATGCACTACACTGAAACTGGTTTAAGGGACCAAAAAAAAAAAAAAATTAGGACAGACTAATTAAATTTAATCATTAACTAGACATTTGGAAAATAACCATTTGCTTTGCCTTAATTGAGCTGCCAATCTCCCCAAACAGTATGGATGTGCAGGCATAGCCCTGCAGCCCTGAGACAACCAAATCCAATTTTTACTAGATGTTTAAATTGATGTCAAGCTTGCATCTTACCAGGGCTGTCAGTACTGTTCTACTACAAGGTTGCAGTGTGCTGTTAGTCACAAATAATTATTTTTTTTTACTTACATGCAACCTTTCTCCCAAAAGGAATGGCAGCAATTGCTTTCCCTGGCAAATCCATATAACCCATGCGATTCAGGGCCTACTTACAGCATCCAGGGCTAAGTCCCGGCTTCTGGCCTGTTGAAGTGATGAAGCATCTTGTACCCACAAGGAGGAAGGCGAGCAAACGGGCATATCCACTCCAGTTGGAAATGCAAGGGGGGATGATGTAAACCTAGTGTTCTATCATTAGTCATGTCGGGATTCAGTGACTTGAGGCCATAACACAACCAGCTTAATCACTTCTACCCTGAATATGCCTGAGTGAGTAGCATCAGCTAATTCTTTAGGCTATTAAATTGAGAGATGAAGCAATTACCTAGATTATTCTATTCTGTTCTATTCTGATTCTTCCTTCATCCCAGGATGAGAATTACGAGCCACTGAATGAGACCTTGGGTTCTCCAGTTTCTATTTCTGTCTGAACAACGACACTACTGGGTTTATCAGATCAAATTTTCCCAGGCAGATATTTTTGGTC